TTTGGAGACCCTTCCCTTTGGGTTTTGGGGAACCCTCCCTTTGGGAAACCCCCTTTTTGGGGTTTGGAGACCCTTCCCTTTGGGGTTTGGGGAACCCCTTTCTGGGATTTGGAGACCCTTCCCTTTGGGGAACTTCCCTTTTAGGGACCCTTCCCTTTGGGACCCCCCTTTTGGGGTTTGGAGACACCCCCCCTTTTAGGGACCCTCCCATTGGGTTTTGGGAAAACCCCCCTTTTTGGGAAACCTTCCCTTTGGGAAACCCCCCTTTTGGGGTTTGGAGACCCTTCCCTTTGGGTTTTGGGGAAACCCCCCTTTGGGAAACCCTCCCTTTGGGAACCTCCCCTTTTTGGGGAACCCTCCCTTTGGGAAACTCCCCCTTTTGGGGTTTGGAGACAACCCCCCCTTTTAGGGACCCTCCCTTTGGGAACTCCCCATTTAGGGGAACCCTCCCTTTAGGGGAACCTCCTTTTCTAGGGACACCCTCTTTGGGGAACCCTTCCTTTGGGACCCCCCCTTTGGGATCCTTCCCTTTAGGGGAACCTCCTTTTTTGGGGACACCCCCTTTGGGGAACCCTCCCTTTGGGAACCCCTCATTTGTGGGACCCTCTGCACCCCAAATGCACCCCCCCAGTCCTTCCCCACGGTTTTTAACCCCAAAATCCTTCCCAGGAGGGTTCAAAAAAGCCTCGAGGGGATTTTTTTTCGGAGGGGGGGGTGTGTGTGTGTGGAATTTTACTCGCCATCCCACCCCCACCCCCAGCAGTTCCCACGGGATTTCATTTGGGGGTTGGTTTTTTTCGGGGTGTTTTTTATTCCCGTTCCCAAGAGGCCGTTCCAGTTTCCCCCCCCCCCGCCCCGGTCTCACTCCGAGGGAGTTTTCAAGATTCTTGTATTTACTTGTTTTATATGGAAAAAAAAAACCAACAAACCCAACCCAAACCCCCCCTCTCCCAACCCTTCCCCTTCCCAACGTTCTTTGTACACAGTTCTCGGGTCCTTTTTTCCAGGGGGAGGGAGATCTTTCCACAAGAAAAACGAAGTCCTGGTTCTCCAACTTCTGGCTGATTTTGGTTTTTAATACGATTATTTTTCTATGGTTCCGTGGTGAAGATGTCGGTGGCTTTTCCAAGTCCGTGTTTTCTTTGGCGATGGAATGAGGTTCTTTTAAGTCCCACAGGTTCCCCCCCCCAAAAAAAAACAAACCAAAACCCAGGAAAATAGCAGAGCATGGACCCCCCCCCCCTTGTTTTCCCAGTGTCATTATTGCCTCATTCAATAAATTGTTACAAATGTGTCTATTTGGGTGTCCAGTTCTCCTGTTTCGGGAGGAATTTGGGGATGTTGAGCCATCCCTCCCTGTCCGGGGGGTGTTTTGGGGGGTTTGATCCCCCATCCCCTCCCACCTCGGAGGAGCTGAGGGGTGACTTTGGGGTTTAATCCCTTGTGCAGGTTCTCTCCTTCCTTTTCCCTCTTCCCGCGTCGCCCTGGGCCGGATGGAAACCTTGGGAATGCTGAAGCATCCCCGCACCACCCACCCCCGTGCTCCCACCCAGGGGCCGAGCTGGATTTTGGGGTGGAATTCCCTCATTTTCACCCCACCCCCGGGGTGTGTTTTTTTCGGGGGGGTGCGAACCCAAGGAGGAGCCGGGAAGCGCAGGGATGGATTTCAGCAGCTTTATTGGAATGTCAGGGTGGCCGATCCCTGGCTCCAGAGGGGGGAAATGAATCCTGTGGAAGCTTCTGGGGGGTGAGAAGAGCGAGCAGGGAAGGCTGGAAGGACGGGTAGAGGGAGGGAAGGGAGGACAGGGGGGGACGTGGGTGATCCCTGGGAGCAGATCCAAGCTCCAAGCCCGGATATCCAAGAGCTGGGGGTCCGGGACCCCCGGGGACCCCCGGGCACCCCCCCCTTGGGGCGCTGGCTGCGGCAGCAGGGCCGGGGGAGGCGGCTCAGCCCCGGCAGACGCTGCGGGCAGTTTAATCTCCCTTAATCGGCCTTAATAAGCAGGTCGGGGCCTCCCGCTGGGACGGCTCCTGGAGCTCCACAACCTCCGCTTCCCACCGGGACGGGCCGGAGGGGTCGGGACCTGCTCCCCAGGCCCGGCCTGGGCGGTTTTTTGGGGTCCCCGGGTGGGTTTGTTCCTCTCACACACACACACACCCCCCAATCCCGGCGCTGCTCCGCCCTGAACTGCACGATGGGGACACAAATTGAGGGGTCTGAGCCCAAAAACTGCAGGGTTTGAGCCCCAGAACTGCAGGGTTTGAGCCCCAAAACTGCAGGGTTTGAGCCCCAGAACTGCAGGGTTTGAGCCCCAAAACTGCAGGGTTTGAGCCCAAAAATGCAGGTGGATGCTCGGGATGAGCCGGGCTGCTGGGAAAGAGCAGGATGGAGGGGGGGCTTGGAGGGCTTCCCAGCGGGAACGTTGGGAATGTTGGTCCCGGTGGGCACCGGCTCCACTTTTGGGTGGTTGGGGGGTGGAGCCTTTTGGGGAGGGGGTGGGGTTTGGGTGTGGGTGTGGCCTGTTTGGGGTGGGGCTTGGGGAGGAGGCTCCGCCCCTGCTTCCCCCCCCCAGGCAGGGACCCCATGGAATAATCCCAGAACTGGGGGAAGGGAGGGAGGGATGGACGGACTGGGAGAGGGGGAAAGGGATGGGTGGGTGGATGGATGGATGATGGATGGATGGATGGATGGATGATGGATCACTGTCTGGTTGGATGGACAGATGGAGAGATGGACAGATGGACAGATAGATGGATGGATGGATGGATGGGATGGACAGATGGATGGATGGATGGATGGATGGATGATGGATGGACAGACTGACTGACAGATGGATCAACGTCTGACTGGACAGATGAACGGACGGTTATATGGAAAGACTGGTGGATGGATGGACAGATGGATGGATGTGGACAGACACACAGACCGGCAGATGGAGCAATGTCTGGATTGTCTGGATGCCTGGACAGACGAGTTGGTGGATGGATGGACGGAAGGACGGACAAAGGATGGAAGGATGGATGGACGAAGGATGGAAGGATGGATTCATGGACGGATGGATGGAAGGATGGAAGGATGAATGGATGGATGGATAGACGAAGGATGGAAGGATGGATGGATGGATGAAAGGACGGATGGATGGACAAAGGATGGATGGAAGGATGGAAGGATGGATGGATGGATGGATGGATCACTGTCTGGTTGGATGGACAGATGGACGGATGGATGGATGGATGGATAGGCAGGTGGGTGCCTGGATGGTTCCACAGCTGGACAGACAGACAGACAGAGGGGGACGGATGGCTGGACTCACACTGGATGTGTGTCTGGAGCAACAGACAGACAGACGGACCTTTGCTCCCTGGGCGAGCAGACGGATGGATGCACAGACACACGGACACACGGACAGACACAGGGCCGGC